TGGAAATAGAAATGAATGTGGTAAAATTCCAGAGACTGTGAGAAAAATAGCCAGTGAAGGAAGACAACAAACTCAGCTGGACAAAGACGTCATGACTTCTTTGAAGATGGCTATGGATGATTTAATTCAGCGAGAAAAACAGCGCGAGATGTCTCCCAAACAGATTGAAGGATTTGTTCAAGCAATTTCATTTTGTCCACTTTAAGTATATATGTGGAATGAAGATCAGGTGCGTCTTTGGCATTACTTATGCATGAAAGATATTGCATACATGGACGCAACCGGAACGATTGTGCAAGATTTCATGGGCAAAAGAGTACTTTATTATGCAATTATTGTTCGACACCCAAAGAAAGGAAATCCATCAGTGCCGATTGCCGAAATGATAACAAATGATCACAGTGCTCCCAGCATACGTTCCTTTATTGAGAGGTTTCGTCGAGATGAGGCAAACGTTTTCAAAGGAAACGTTCGAATACCTCGTCAGTTAAATACAGATTACTCAAAGGCGTTGATATTGGCTGCTCTGAAAGAGTTCAACGGAGAAACCCTTGCTCAGTTTTACTTCGAGCATTCAGGATTGTGCAGAGGATGGCATCAAACGAAGATTTTGCATTTATGGTTTTACATGTTGGCTGCAGTCATTTCATGAACATAATTCATAGGCGTTTGAAATCAATTATGCGTATCAAAGTCAGTACGACAAACGAGGTGTGGTATCGCTTTAACATGTATTGTGTGTCGCTGTTGGTAAACTCTAGAACCCAAGAAGAATTTGATCATATTCTTCTACCTGTTGCAATTTGCCTGCTTCATAAGACTCAAAATGATGAAGTCCAAAACGCGTTCAGCACCTTATGGAAATTGATCCATGCAATGGAGGAACGAGAACAAATCCTTGAACATGTTGAAGTGCATGGAGTCTTTTCAAATGCAGGCGATGATGATGCCGATCTTACTGAAACAGACAGAAATACAAGTCAAAATCCATTCAAAAATCATTACGATAGCTTGCTACGAAATGTCAAAGAAAGAGCGATGGAAGATGCAAAACATAGCAAGGCAAATAATAGATGCTACGCACCAGAATTTTTTGCATTCATAGAATCTTATCTTTGTGAGATGCCTTTGTGGTCTGGTGTACTTTTAGGTTCATTAGACCGATACATAGAGGAGAACGATCCAGTTTACGAAACATTACACGACTATCCGTACCTTTCATTTAAATCAGAAAACTCAAAAACAGAGGGCTATGTGGAAGGTGTCATGCGAAACTTAAAACAAGAAGATTTTCCAAACAAAGAAGACTGCGTCCTGATGCATTTGTTTGGAAAATTATGACAGAATTAGGCGACGAATGACAGATTTCTCGGATAGACTAACTGCTAATAAACCTACCAGAAAACAAAGACGTCCAATAAATTCTTCGAAAAATTTTCAGACGCAAACATCGGACAAAACATCTGCACAAGAAATCGATATAAAAGAAAATACAAAAAGAAGCGAAAGCAATACTATCGTAAGTTCAGATGACACTTCAGATGATGAAGTTGATGATTATTCACAAGTCAGTGAAACATGGGGGAAAAAGACTCCATCGACACCAAAAACTAATGCTAAAGTTGGACAATTCCAGCAGTCACCGGCAATTCCGTTAAGCGAAACTCAGAAATCAATAAATGTACACAGAGTAGACGTCCACCGTCATCATTCTTAAATTTTTCATAAAGGTAGTAAGAAAGAGAGCTTCTAAAATTGCCCTAACGCGTTTTTAACGAAAGAGGCAGCTAAATTATGGCTAGATATGTCGGCAGAGGACAAGTTCCGCTTCAAGGATACAAGTATGTTGACGAAAAACAAACAAAGTAAAGACAGCGAGCGTACGAAATCCAGCAAATCCATTGGTGCGTCGCACAAGATGCACGTGTTTTGCTAAGAAAAGAATTAACAAGAGGTTTAATCAATAAGGGTAACGATTGCTGGTTGAACAGTCTTCTGCAATGTTTGCATGCATTAAAAGTTGAATACCCGAAACAACGACAAAATGTAATCCAACTGTAGCGAAAGTACTGAATAAAACCTTGCGAATATTAAAAACACGAATGACAAACCTTTGTATCCACAACAGCTGCACGACATTTTAATAAGTATTTTGGTTATGAGTGGCCAACAACACGATATTCACGAGTTTTATAGTTTTGCATGAATATTGTGACGCAGGTTCCTTTAGAGGAACGTACAAATATAGAAAAATTTGTGATGTCTGTGGAAAAACTCGGTTGCATGATGAGGAAACCTTCACGACGCTTTTTGCTTCCGTTGACAATGCCAACAAAACCTTAAAAGAAAAATCGAAGAGAGTTTCATCGATTCTGTATTTACAGACTGTAGCACATACAGTGTGAGGACGAGTCATATTCGCATAGGTGAACTCAAAACACTGCCTAAAATTTTATGCCTTGGTTTCAAAAGATTTGTTTCAAAGGGATCAGGAGTTACGAAGAGTTGTCAGAGAGTTCCACTACCATTAAAATTAACATTGCAGAATGATGGTGCATCGGCCACTTATCAATTATCCTCATGTGCATTACATTACGGCTCAGATATTGATGTTGGCCATTACACAGCTGTAATATTCAAAGATGGAAGAGTTTATGAGGTCGACGATACATTCGTCTCTGATATATCACAAAAGTGGAAGCAAAAAGTGTCAACTTATGCATACACTACCTTTTACTCCGCTGAAAATTTTAGTGACAAAGGTTATGGAAACGAACGACAGTCGTCAACCCAACTCAGCGATGATAGTGACGATGAGGACATACCCCGAAGTACAAGCTCACCAAATTTTGTAGGCTCTGTTCATAGCACAAGTGCGCAAACCGCACAAACGAATAGTAGAGATGTCCAATCAAAGGTCGATAGTTTGCCTCCGTCAATTGCACAAAAATATAAGAAAATGTGCAAGGTATTTCACTCACTTTGTGATCTAAATGTAAGAAATGAACGTGTTGCTTCATTTAAAACACACGGATACAATCTTCTGGGAAAAGATATCAAAACTCTTGAACCTTTGGAAAAGGGTTTTTCAAACGATACATATGTTCTTTCCAACCCTGGATGGCTCAATGATGAGGTTATAAATTGCTACCTTCTATTGCTAACAAAAAACACGGAGAAGTTTGGATTGCGTAGTTTTGCATTCACGACACAATTCATGACAAAACTTCGATCCGTACGCCAGCCGAATAATAAAGAGCGCTTTCATGAAATGTTAAGGAGGCACTACCGAGGTGTTTTGTTTCATCTTTACGACGTGATTGCAATTCCTATAAATGTTGGAAAAGGTAGTCACTGGTGTATGGCAATAATCAACACTGTTGAATGTTGCATTTATTTGTACGACCCAATTGCAAGAGGCAGTCAATATCTAACATTGGTAGATAATATAAAATTTTACTTCAAAGAACTTTACCGAATGAGAGGTCAATGTACGGTGGCCCGTATCTGCAATTCACAAATTAATTTGTCAATGCACAAACATTCCCTTAAATTCAAAAACAATATATTTGATACAAAAATAATGTGCTGAATGCAAAATGATTTTGTTCAATGCAAAACAAATTTGATCGCAATGCAAAACAAATTTGATCGCAATGCAAAAACAAATTTGATCGCAATGCAAAAACAAAGTTACCGCAACCCAGAATTTTGCACTGTACTGTGGGTGGCAATATGTCGAATATTTAATAGAGTGGGACAGTGTGTATATCTGCGTTGGTTTGGGCTGCTCTGAGCCTTCAAGGCAGCTCTGTTAAATCACCTTGTGTGACTCACTCGACTGGGAACTCCTCCACTTCGTCGAACACGTCTTCATCTTGTACAAGTTTGTCTACTTTCATGAAGAACAAGGAGGCTGAACGACGGTCGCATTTTGAGCCCAAGAGGAAAAAGTCACGCTCTGCAACATCACGAAAAAATACTGATGTTTTTATAACAGTAGGTTTAATGGAATACGACCACGATGATTCATATACGCCAAGACGGGTTTTTGGTAAAACATTTCCTGTGAAGGTGACACCGGACATGGTGTATGATCAAGTTCTTAAAAGATCTTTGACCAAATGGGCTAACTATGATAGAACATTTTGCCCTGATAGAGGTTACGTACTTGTTTACCCAGATGGTCAATAACCAGGACAAGCAGACAATTTCAAATAATGCAAAATAAAGCAAATTCCGAAGAGGGACATCTCGCACATAAGTCTGATGATGTCTTTGGAATAAAGACGAAATATTACACATTATTTTGTTTCAAACTCTTGTAATATCTTGAATATCAAGAAAACGAGATGTCCCTCTTCGGAATTTGCTTTATTTTGTATTAGATGGTCAATTGGCACGAACAATTCCTAGGTGTGGACGAAGAAATCGTGATGGGCAGGTACAAAGAAGAACTTGGGAAAGCGTACTCAAGAATAAATTTGTACCTTTGCCCTGTAGCACCAAAACAGAAAGTGAGAGCGAATGATGTACTCATCACTGATCTACTTACCGAAAACGACGATTCGGACCTTAATAGTGAATTACAAGAAGTGCCAGAAAATTGTAATGGAAATTTGGCAGTATCTCCAGAATCCAGTGGAAATGGGTCCGGGGAAGCTGCTGCAACATCCTATGCTTTGACGGACTTTTTGTAAGTGTAACATGTAATATGACTAAGTTTTTACTACTTTATTGTGTATAAAGCAATCACTGTTGGTTGTATTAAATCTATGAAATCTTTTGTTATTAGACCAGTTGGAGTTGATGAGAATGCTGCTGTGCAACAGGCCATATGTAATAGCTTGTCTATGCATGTCGATGTGGAAGATGCAGTTGGTGATGCTATCACTGACCCTGAAATTCTCACAAGTGATGGTTTCTTGAATGCAGTTAAAGCATGCAGCAAACAAAATTCAAGGAGACCCTCGAAACATTGTTGTTAGCCGATTAAGCATATGGCAAACTGCGCATATTTTAGAAGGAAAGGCTTCCTTAGTTCTGCTGGCATTTTGAAAGTATCATTTGCTACATTTGAAGAGGAGGAAGATGCCGTAGATCAAGGTGTCCCAAGAAGAGAATTCTTCCATCTACTTCTTGGAGCTATTGCACGAGACAGTGGAATAATGTGTAGTAAGTTATGAATTAAAGTTCTTGACTTGGAAATGTTGTGTACTAAATTTCAAGTTTTTATTTCATTGCAGTCTGTAGCCTGGTTGTAGAGTGTGCCACTTTATTTTTATTGGCTAAATATAAATTTTCTGTAGGCATGCCAACAGGTTGTGTAATTCGCTGCAATGTTGGAGCCTTGAATCAAGGAACATTTTTGGCTGTTGGACACATGTTGGCTACACTTGTTGTGCAAGGTGGAGAATTGCCACGAATATTTAGCAAATCTGTTTGCCAATATATTGAGGCAGGGTTTGGCAGCTGTACACCAGATATAGACGAGCTACCTGACAAGAACATTAGAGATTCTCTTTTAAAGGTATCAAATGTTCGACATCACATGGCAGAAACCAATTTGCCAATTTTTATTGACACTTAAATTCTTTGAAACTTAATTTTTTTTTAAACAATTTTGGCAACAATTGTTTTCATTATTACTATAGCTGAAAGCTGCAAAGGATCAAGGGGGTGTTGATTCTTTTTTGGCTGAGAGTGAGTGGAGATATGACATTGATGGATTGTCCCAAACCCTCCTAATTAAAGATAAGCTGATGTTCATTGAGGAGGTCACCAAATACTTCATCATCATAAAATGCAAACCAATGCTTGATCAGCTCATTGAAGGCCTCAATTATTATGATGTATGTGGTGTCGTATATTTAATTCAAAGTTTAGTTTAATTTTATTTTATTTGCCTGCCTCCATAATAGTGTTATAGTAGTAGCACTTTGGGGTATTATGTAAAACAAAGCAAAACAGAGAAACTAATGCTAGTCATGTATTATTGGTTAATACATTGAATAATATACACAGCAGATATTAGCACTGAATATTGCAATAGTATTAATTATTGATTTCTATATACTATAAGTAAAATGCCTTTCCTATTCAAAGGTTTTGCAACTGGTCCGTGCTAATAAAGGAATGGCAAACTATTTATTCCAGTACAATCCAGAGGAAAAGATGGATGGCAGCAAGCTGATAAAAATCATGAAACCTAATTTTTCTCCAATTGGTCACCATCGTAGAGAACCACAAGAAATAATAATGGCTAAATTTATCGCCTTCATCAAGTCCATGGAAGGTGAGTGACAATGTGATCTGTCCCAGATCGAAGCATCTGCTTTGCAATGGCAGATTTAATAAGTGTCTTTTCTGTATATTTCTGTGTCATATGATATATATTACATATTACTATTTAATAGATGGAAGTTTGCTGGGAAACTTACATGATGAAGGAATCGAGTTGACAGAAGAAGAGCGCTTTGCTTCTGAAGCAACTCCTAAGCATATTCTTCTATTTGCAACTGGTGCAACCAACGTACCTACTATTGGCTTTGTACCTAAACCAACAATCACATTTGTTCATGATGATGGCAAGATGATACCATCAGCTCAGACCTGTTCCAACTCATTGCATTTGTATGTGAACAAGAAGACACTAGATTGTAGCCTGGCCCATTGCTTGCTGACAGCTTTAATGAATGGAGGAATATTTAGTAAATTGTGAGGAAGAATAACAATGTGTCCCTTGTTTTGGGATTTAGTTAAACTTTTGCAGAGTTATGTTACAGACATTATTTACAAATGGTGTGCCAAAAAAAAAAAATTAAAAAAATTTAATTCAAAATTTTTTTTCAAAATTAAATTCAGCTTTGGGCAATTCCACGTAAGATATGGTACATTTCAATGCTCTTCTCCAATGTGTTGGTTGAGACATACCAAGTTCATTTCCAATGGTGCAATAATATTCTTGAATAACATTTTCTTCCATGTACTCATGACAATATTGAGACATATCTTGAAATTGAGCATCAGTCACTTGCTTTGCATAATTTTGTGCACCATTGCATTCAGGGAGAAAGTAAAGTTCATCTGGTCTTCCAGCAACTGTGTCAAACCTTGACTTACGGATGTAGTGGGAGTTCCAATTACGCTTGATGCTTGTTAGATCTTCTTGTAATAAATTGGCAAAGCAATACCACAAACATTCCTTGTCTAGATCACTTGATGTATTTAAATGCCCTGTCTCAATCATATCTTTAAAACAATTCATCCACCAGTTCGGCGATTTTTCGTAGAAATGCCCACCAAGATTCAATCCGCTGGTTTGACTGAGAGGAACCATACCGATGAGCATTGATACCTGCCATCTCATCATCCCCACTAGTTCTAAAATAAGCTTGCATTGCTGCCATTATGACATTTTCAGTCCCATTGTCTGTTCTCAACAATGTGGGCATCCACCATACCTCTTAACAGCATCCAGGAAGTGTTGACTTGTAACAGCAGGATTGTTATTTGTTTTGCATACTTTAAGCCATAAAACTTTTCGGCTATATCCATCTATGCATCCATGCACTGGGAAGCCATATGGCTTAAGTTTGTCATAGCCATCAACATGCCAAGCATAATTGGGACCTGGGTTGTGGTAAGTTCTTCACCTAAGGGTTTTGCCCTGCATTTCCCTCACGCCATCAGGATCCAACTCATTAACAAAAACCCTGATCGTTTCCCTGGGCACTTGGTAACCTTCCCGTTGCAAGGTATGCCACACAGAGCGATAACCAGCTGAAGAACCTGGTCCATCAAGCTCGTGCTGTATTCGTTGTTGAATTAGACTTAAATCATACTCCTTGTTCCTTCGACGAAGACCAAGAGATCTTAGCTTGGTATTAAGTGTTCGTAAGGAGATGTTAATGACCTGAAACTTGCCAAGGAATTGCATAATCTTCTTGTATGCAAAGCCTTCTCTGAAATAATGCGCGATTAGTTCGTCACACGTATCGTCTCCTCCAGGGATTTGTTCCTCCGCGTTTCGAAAGCCTTGTAAGTGATTTCCACAAAATGGGCAATATTGGAATGTGACCTGAATATTTTGACCGCAAAATGGACAATACATTCCTGGTGAAATTCAGCAAAACATTACAAACCAACGCAGATATTTTCGAAAGAAATCTAATATACACTGTCCCACTCTATTAAATATTCGACATATTGCCGCCCACAGTACAGTGCAAAATTCTGGGTTGCGGTAACTTTGTTTTTGCATTGTGATCAAATTTGTGTTTGCATTAAATTATTTAATGAATCTAAACTAATTTCATTTCCTTCAAATTTATATACATCTTTGTTTTTTATAACTTTCACCATTATAAAGAATTACTATATATATTATTTTTTTAAGTGTCTTTAAGGTGCGTTTAAATTATCTTTTGGTTTATACAATGTTTTTTCAAAATTCTTCAAAACAACTTCTATATTATAACTAGTTTTTTTACAACATAGAATAAAATCTCTAATCTTTTTTAGTAGATCTTTAAGGTTCATATATAACATACTATAGGTTCTATAATATATAAATAAATAACCAGAAACAAACGATATTTTTGGTTAAATTAATAACAAAAGTAACAGAATACACTATAGTACACTGACTATATATATAATAGTAAATGTTTTATTTCTTCAACTGAACCCAATTGTTATAATAATTACAGTTGATATCTTTATCCCACTCGAGGATTTTATAAATTTCACCAAATAATCTATCATCAAAAATCCTCTTTGTCTTACAATTTTTCATATCTCTAACAGATTGTTTTAATGGTATACCCCTCCTACTAGCTAAACGTATTATATAATAATTATACATACTAACATTTTTTTTATTAATTAAATTATGTTTAATCATAGTACTGACAACCTTTATAAAATCATTTGTCAATTTCTCAACATATTCAAAAGTTACACACAATCTAATTTTATTATAAAACCATTTTTTCCTTGAATGAACTGATCGTTGACACTTCCAAATCTCTGGTATCCATTCATTAACTATCTTATATGAGTGAACAGAACCACAGTGTATACAAACATTCATTTTATTATTATCTGAAATAATTTCTTGATTTTCGCAACATAAGTATATCTTAACAGAACTATCAATATAACTATCACATATCTTTTTATCACAAAAGCAACAATTTACGTAACCAAAAAACTCTTCTAACTCTTTATGAATTAATTCATTACCATACATATAATATAATATTATATCTTTAAGTAGTTTTATATAATAAATATCCCGATATAATACCAAGCCATAGCATTGTAATAGATTGATAATTTTTCATATTCTTAGATTCTTTGTAAAAATCATTTAATTTTGGTTCTCTATGAAATGTTAATCCGTTGTAATGTATTGTTTTTACTTTTCTAAGCATATCTAAAGCTTTGTTCGTAAGTTCTATATCATTATCAGCATATTGAAGTTCTTGTCTTAGCTGTTGAATTTTATCATGCTGCTTGACTTCATTTTCATAGAACGCCTCTTTAGCCTTAGATAAGTCCTCTAGAGCCTTGTTGTTGCGTTTCATTTCCTCGGCGTAACCGTTTTTATCAAGTTTATGAAATAGCCAGCCTGCTAGGGAAAAACCTAACCCATTAACAACTGCTCCTATAGATGTTGATAATCCACTAGTAATAACACTTGTCATATATATTTATACAGATTTAACTGGATTTTCAGGAATCCATTTTTTGTCTTGAGCATATTTAACTAGCATTGTTGATGCTGTAATAGCAATAGCTAGTTTTGTAAAATCTTTAATATTATCAGTATCTGTTAATTTTTGGCCTAGTAGTTTTTTAGACGTCATAGAAAGACCTACAGCAGTTGTTGTCACAAGCACTGCATCAAAAGCTTCATTCATAAATTGTTTCTTAGTCATAGTGTTACTCATATATAATAGGAAATATTTTATTCGAATGAGTCTAAATTATATTTTTTATTTTTTTGTATCAAAACATGTTTTTCACTAGTTGTTTCTTCTCTCGCTTTATCGTTTGTTAATTTTTCCTGCCTCTTATCATCTTTCCGTGCATAATAGAGGCTAGCAATAGCGGTTATCACTCCAACTGCTCCAAATAAGAATCCGTAATTAATATTCCAGCTATCATCCTCAATTTTCTTTTTATTTTCTAATTCAATCCTATCTCGCATCTTTTTTTCTTTAGAAGCTATCGATATAGAAGCAAGGCGTTTCCCAGCTTCAACCCTAAATGGATCTTTCTCTTTCTTAACAGTAGTTATCTTTGGGTTTTTTTCAGACATGTTATATAATACTGTAGATTTTGTTCACAGATAACTCACAGATAACTTATAGATAACTCACAAATAACTCACAGATAATCTTATAGATAACTCAAAGATAATCTTATAGATAACTAACAGATAACTTACAGATCATTATATTTTTTGTTATATTTACTCACCATACCATCTATAGTAGTACAAAAGTCAATTATAACATCATCGATAACTTTTATGTCTGATAGAAATATCAATTCATCATAAGCTAATCCTCTTAAATAAGATCTTATAGTCATAAGTATTTTTTCATATGATTATATGCAAATTTACACATTTCTAAGTTATTATTAATTTTACTTTTAACAATATAACCTTGAATTAAAGCCCCTAAACCACTCAAGGTGGCTATAACTATCAGGTTTACGGTTACACTGCCAGCAATAGCACCAGTCGAGACTAGAAAAATACTTCCCATGTTTAATGATAGTCTAATTTTCTTTAATTTATTATACTTCCATTTATAACAGGTATACATCTTGTGATAGTATAAATACAATTTTTTCAGCTTTTCAAATTCCTCTTGGCTCAACTCACTCGAAATATGATTAAAATCTAGAACTTTTTTCATATTATATTATAAGACGTATTTAATTAATATGAATGATGATAGCGTTGATATACCGAGTAAAGTAATCATCTGTTTGATGGGAATTATTTACTATCATTTTTGTATGTTTATGTACTACTGGTTTTTTATGCACTTCATCTAGAGTATCTAGGTGTTGTGAGGTTGTATTATCTTGATGTACTTTTTTTGGTTCTTCCTTTTTAACTCTATAATAATTTATTTTAGAGTTAAAACCGAATTTCATAGTTTCATTCGCTAATGTTAAAATATTATTATACCCATCAATCTTTTTATCCAATATGATCATACGGCTGGGTATAATAATCATCCCTGGTGTGATTGCCATATTTAAAACAACATTCGTGTCTTTTATACTCTTTCTCATGTTAGATATCAATACAGTCGTATCATTCTGTACTATAGTATCCTCTACTAATTTCCTAAAAACTTTTTGAGTTTGCATGCTCTTAGCTCCATGATTAACTATTGACCATCTTGTATTTGCTTGGGATCCAAGAATTGTATAAATAAAACTTTCAATACTCTGTTGCAAAAGAACTTTTCCGATTTGTGTAATCCCTTCAGAATTATATGCAATGGAGCTCCTATAATCAGTAGTTGAATATTGAAAATTAACATAATATCCCCAACCAGTTTCTCCATCACCGTCTTTAGTGGTTGAGAATTTTAAAATACCTTTATAAGGTATATGCTTTTTCAATTCCGTAAAGTCATATTTGTCTAATAACGATGGATGCTTCATAAATTTTCGGATCTGATAATACAA